CGTTATCAAAAGACATAACCGGTAACATGATTTGGATCACAAGTGCAGAGTGGCTCGCTAGTAACGAGTTAACCTGGATATCCAACGCGCTATGCAAGCCGACTAATTACAGGGCGACCACCTGCTTTGCTTTATAGATAGTCCGAAGTCACTGCATTTGAACCTCCGTTGCTACAAAGAGATTTTTATTCCTCCTTGAATTTAAACCTGGGATCTCATGAAGGTAAGCTCAAACCAATCATGTGATTATAATAAATTAAAGTTACGTCTACGTCTAATGAATTTATTATATAGTCATATATATTTTCCTTTATGGTTTAATATTTTGTTTAAAAATGTGTACTATTTACGGTTTGGATGCATTTGAACAACTCGCACATGATATGGTCTATTAGGCTACTGTAATACCATTCTCGTTAAGTTACTAAGAACTTTCTACAATATTTTTATTAATAAAGATATTATAGAAAGTTCATTGTAACTTAAAAACCGAGAATGGTATTATAATAACCTAATAGACCATATGAACATACACACATATATATACTAGAAGGATACTCGTACAATGCATCGAAATACATCTCGATTTTAATGTTTTATTTTTTTTTGTCTCGATCGATATTATAAAAAATTGAAAAAAATATTGATATTAGTACTAATTTACAACCACAATTTTCATAAAATACGCAACATTGTAAGACCGCTCACATTCTTTGAAAATTAATTCAAGTGCTTGGATTGAAACTAAACCTCAAAATTTTGAAAGTGCGGTTTGTCAAATGGATGTTTCCGGACGATTTTGCTTTATTCAAAACTTGATTTGATCGTTGTGTCCAGTGATTCAGTTACCTGCGTGTGAGGTCTTCAAGTAGGACTTTAGTTTAGAATGTTGATTTTCAACTCTATTTGTTATGTAATTTTCAAGTTTAGATATTCGTTAACCCAAGCGGATACAAATATCTCCTTATACGGTGTCAACCATACATTATTCAAGTAATCGAAGAATACTCAATATTAAACTTATTTTAAAGGTATTGACAAGATGATTATAATGATATAATTTATAAAAAAAGAACGCATTTTTTAATATATTTAGTTGTTTTTGAAATATAATATTTATACACGGAAAATGCAACAAATAAACTCACACACCTTTCTCACATTTGGTGAGGTTTGAACCCCTGGCCTCCTAAGAGGCCAAAGACTATTTGATATATTTTAGTTGATATATAATTATATACGTTAATGTAATAAGAGGGTAAAACAAAAAATAAAAAATTAAGGTATATAAAAAAAATTAAATAAATAACTATAAGGGTATAAAATTTAAGCAAAAAATTGATTTATGCATTTATAATATTTAATAATATGATTAAATCCAAAAATATT